AACAGTAAATTTTATCCTCATTACAAACAGGTGTGTATAGAGAACGTGGCATAGAAAACTTCACACAGCCACATTTTTCCAGAGTAAAATTTGCTAAGCATTCTAATTCACAATTTGACTGAGTATAAATTTTAAAGAATCTTAATTGGCGTTCGTTATGAAGAAAACACTGGCGGCGTAATGGATGATAATCATCTATTCCAATAGATGTTGTTATCATATTTGGTTTTACGGCAATTAAAACTTCTTTACCCGTTGGTATTCGTACAAAATCTTTTGATACATGTGGAACATCATCAGGCGAATGAAGTAAAACTTTAAATCCTTGTATGGGACCACGGCAATAATAATCAGTTTCTTGCTTAAAACTTTGTAAAGCAATAAAAATGCCAGCTCTTGCCCCTGCACCTAAAACTCTAGCTGGATATGTTTTGAAACCACTGTCGGTATCGTAACCATTTTGTAATGACCAACTAAGAGTACGATTCGAATACTCCGAATATTCGATTGCATTATGGGAGTCAAAATGATTATGCTGATACGTATCTTCACGATAAAGATCTTTTGAACTTAATCCATTGAAAGTATAACATATTCCCTCTTCTGTATAGGTTTTTTTAAAAAGTGTATCACATGTACCAAAATGATTAAACCATTTACAAAAGAAAAAATATCTTTCAAAATTTGGTAACATTTGATTTAATATATCATAATAATCGATTTTACTGGTCGACAATAAAGGCATACCTTTATCAATAATTTGAGTGTTACAAATATGTAGCAAAGTACGAAATTCATCTAGCTCGTCTTTGGTAATATTTGTGGGTGTATATTTTTCTCCAGCTCTAATACTTGAAGTTAAATTGTTGTAAAAGTTTGCATATGTCATACCTAAGTAATGGTAATTAAGTAATTATTTAAGATTTGTTGTAAATATATAAATTTTTATATACCCTCAGTCTTAAGTATCCGTTTTGTTTCTGAACAAATGGTTATAGCTGGAAAAGGTATATTCCAAACGGGAGTTGTTTTTTCTGAAAAACTAACAATTACTGGTGTTTCATTCCATTTATGATAAACACTCATGATTAAGCTAAAACAACAAACAATGGACACCAGAAAAACCAATATCCAAAATATTTGTTCAGTTATTGGACGTCTTTGTCCAAAATATTGAACTCCATGGATTGAGGTATTTGAACAATATTCGTAAAATATCTCAGACGTTGCCTTTTTGGTATTCGAACGCCATTTAGAATGATTTGATTTTGATTTTGATTTTTCCTCACATCTTTCATTACTTTCATTATCGTTGAGATCGCACATTTTTAAATTAAAAATAAAGTTGAAAGCAAATTATTTAATCACAGAAAACAAAATTATAGCTGTAAATTACAGTTTTGTTTTGTTAAATTTGGCACAATTTTGCCACCCGTTAATAAAGTGGAACTTTGAAATATATATATATATGTGTGTATGTATATAATATATACACATAGATAATATATAAACATATTTATATTATATATGTATGTATATTAAATTAATTTTAGAAAAATTCAGCATTAATATTATTATTATTATATACTTGACTAAGAAAAAAGTCCTTTGTTGTTCACATATAATGATTCTATTACTATATAATTCTACTTTAGACAGCTTTGTGTCAGTTATATTTTGAATTTTCATTGCTTTATTTTGTGTTATGTATGCGATAAAAGTTGTGAATATGAAACGCAATGGGTCATTGAAATCTAATATGCCCAGAAGTTTATATCAAGATTCGACTTTATTGCATTATTAACACAGTCTGTTATTTCTCAAGGGTTTATAACGAATATTATTGCAAATAATTCCATTTTTCATAATCATTTATGTACATTCATATACAGAATTTTCAAATGATTGATTTGACTTTTGTATGGCAACCTTATTTATCGTTCATATTTGACGCTGTCAAATTTGCGCCAAATATATTGTTAAAAGCATCAAACAAACGAGTGGAGAGATATACATACATATATGCACATATAAGAATGCGTACCATACAGCGGGGAAAATCATTATTTATTTTTGTAGTTTTTAACACCATTAAACATTACTTACAGTTCACCACTGTACCTTGGTATGATATATTTAAATTGTTTTCTGTGGTTTTATCATTAAATTTTTTTAGATTTAATTTACAATCACTAAAATTTTTTTGTGGTGATATATTTGAATTAAAATGTTGCTAAATTTTCAAAATTTCACATTTTTTAAATAATGCATTCTATTACACGGCAAATAAATAAATATTACGCAGAACAAACTTTTTGCCTTCAACCATATTGCCACTGCTAATCTCAATGATCCTGTCATCAACAATGGAGTAAGAAACTCATCAGCCAACAGTTTTAATAGTTACGAATGCAGAGTGATTCAATATATTATCAAACATCTTGAAATCAACAAAAAATTCTGGTGTTGAAGATATGAATAAACGCAGATTAAAAGCTTTATATAGAATCGATTAAAAATTCTAGGCAGCTATAATAAACGGCTGCTTACAATGAAGTTATTTTCTAAACGTTTAAAAAAATTCGAAGTTAGTCTATATCCCCAATGATAATCCCTTTTCTTATAGACAAGTTACTCTTACTCAAGGTTTCTTGAGTAAGTAAAATCCTATAAAATATATTCATAGATAGGATATCGTCTCACATTTCAATAATCTAAAATAAAATAAAAAAATGTGAGATTTCTATGTGAGATTTAATTCCAGAAAAAATAAATACACTAAAACGATTTCATTGGGTATAAAATTAGCATTTGATTCTGTATATCATGATGACTTATTCTTAAAACCAATAAATTTTAATTTTTCTCTACATCTAATAAATATAATTCAAAACTATTTCTAAGATTTTGTGTTTACATTGGTAGATCTTTTTCAAATAATATGACTTTTGTTGCAGTATGCCTCCTAGGATCCGTGTCTCTCCTATTCTGTACAACATTTACACTAATTTTTCCCACTTCAGTGAATGTACAACTTCCATTTTTGCAGATGAGAGTAATTCTTGCAAATTATTCGCATGTAGTAAATGTTTGATTTAAATTAGAAACACCACTGCAGTTAATATTTCGTAAAATTGAAAAATTATTGTAAAGATTCAAATAATACATTTTACACAAAGTAAATTTCAAAATTCTATATATTTTAATATGTGTTTTCCGTGGCTCGCAAGTATGGTATAAAAATGCATGCTATTCTATATTCGCTAAGCGAGACATTGGCATCACTGTTGCAATCTGTCAAGTGTTATATTTTGGCAAATAGCAAATCTTGCATATGTGCACATAATGCAAACAAATTACATATTGTATAAAAATAAATAATTAATATACATTGAAAATGAAAATAATTACAGAATTATTTCTTGCAATTGTATTATAACTGTTTGCTTTTATTTTAACGATTGTGTTTTGTATTTATTCATATATTACATATTTTAATGAAGACAGAAATTAAAAATTGCTTTAATAAATAATTAACTTAAATTACTTATCTGTCTGTCATTTTACAAATTTTATTAAAAAAATTACTTTTTTAACATATTTAAATTTATTCATTAACACTTGCAACAGCTGTAAATATTAAACAGTTGACTGGAGTTTTACATTTTTTTTTTAAATCACTTACATTAGATCAATTTTAAGTTTTGGCACGATTTATAGTGCGAGAGGCTTATTTGTAAAGTAATTTCAAGAAAGTGGACTCTTGTTTTTGCTTTGCATGTTAATTTTTAAGCGACTAGTGTTCTGTTGGAGTATTCATGTGTAAAGAATACACCTACTAATAATTTTAACATGATTGCTTGATTTATTCTGAATGAAAATGCAGTGGTTTGTGCACTGACTACCAAATAAGTAAAAACTCTACACTTTCTGAACGCATCATTGTTAAGTGAACTGAACATACTTCGTTCCGATAATTATGTGTATTGAACTGTTCTTGAGCAGTAAATTTTGGGTTAAAAGTAGTAAGGAAGTTTGTGTAAAGTAAAGTTTGGTTTTAAGTTTTAAACATTTGCAAATAATGATAAATGTTTAAAGGTTAGTACTACTTTTAAACTAATTTGATATAAATATAAAAGTAAAAACGTAAATTATTACTTAGGGTAATATATATGTAGCAAACTGTTAGAAATGTTAAACTGTAAATGGACATACAGTTATTTTTTTATTAAATTTACGAATAAAATGTAAGATCTCATGGTTAGAGACAAACATTTTGTAAATATGTATAACAAATATTTAAATTTATTTTTAAATTTATTTTGATTATATTTTTAAGGATACATAGGTTTTATTTTTAGAATTTGCGTATGTTCGTTTTATGTGAAGCTAATTCTGAAATGAAGTAAATATTACATTAACCGTTAATTGCCTGGTTCTGTATGACTTTGAACTACTCCGTTTGGACCAATTTAAAAATAATCTTAAATCATACGGAGCGATACAAATTGTCCTTTATATGAAATTTCAAAAGTAAAATGGAGAAACACCAGAGAAGGTCTCGTCTGTTTACTAAAGACTATGGATCAAGACTAATCCTAAAGAATTTCTCGTTCCCTACGGAACATAATTGACTAGTATTAAATTTAATTGTTTTAAACGATTATTTGTTATTGACATATTCAAAAATACAAATGTAAGAACTTAGTCTAATCATAGCCATGTAGTCTTTGTCGGCTGCGATTTCTTCTTCCATTTTGAACGATGAAGTTTCTTTTTTCTGCCGCATATTTTATTACAATAAAGATAATAAATACATATACATATTTCATATACAGATTTGGCAAATACACAGGTGCCAAAATGATTAAATTTTAAAAATTCGGAAATCATAAACGTAACCAATGTTTTGTTATTAAATTTGAAATTTCTTCTTACATATTTAAGTGGCCACAATAATCCGTAGTTGGGTTTCGTCTTGAAGCAGTGCTTTAGTTACGAAGCTTCCTTAAGTTCTTCACTGGCGGCTGATTTTACGAGACGGGTACCAAACTCTGTGCACAACGCAAACTTAAAGTCCTGGGGATAGGACTCGCTGTACGCACTGTTAGTTCATCACTCACCGTGTGACAACTAACTATCCAGGGATGTCATGTGGAGGCTGTGTGCCAACTTGGATTGAGGGTGACAAAGATTGCGCTCACATTTTCCAATTTAAATGCAATCAGACAAATTGTCTTGTGTACTTATTCCCAGGGACTCGCAGCTGCTCAACTCAATGATTTGTTGATTCTAATAACAAGAGATCAGTTTATAGGAAAAATCATGAATGGGGGAAAGTATTTCTAAATAAGTTTGAAGATGTTGTTGCATTTGTGATTATATGCAAACTTGAAAACAAATTCCAAATTATATTCTAATTATTGCTTCATATTATTTTGTCTCATAACTCTTTATATTGCGGATTTTGGTATTATTGTAAATCCATATATATCTCTCTGGTACTATAATCAATTCTCTTACTATATATCGTTGTTATTAATCTAATTAAGTTGTTGATCATAAAGTTTATGTTTAATATTAACTTGCTGTACTTTTGCTGGGGCATAAGCATTTGTAAGAATCCATTTTCGTGTTGCTTTGAATATTTTTACTACCATCGGTCTCCCATTGATAGGTCTCCAGTTTGCTACCCGGTTATTATTTATCACGATTTTCTGGTATGAATTAGACACTTCCAAAACTGTGTGGTAAATGTGATATATAATTTTTTATTTTTTATGCTTTTAGGACCGCAACATTGTGTCGTAATGGAATATTTGCAGTTGACGTAAGGGACATCACGAATTCGTCCAAAAGGGTAATGAGCAAACATGTAAAACTGTTTTGCAATTTAATAATATAATTTTAGATGTTAGTTTCAGTATTATTAATAATGTAGTCTTACCAAAATTAAATATATTAATAAAATTTTGGTTTTGCAAAAAATCAAAGTTAATTTTTCAATACTCGTTTAAAGACACCTGAATTTTTTTATAAAGAATATAAAGAATATATGTGAAATTTAAATGAGTTTCTCTTCTGCACAGTATGTGCCTGATATAATGTTAATCATCATAAAGTTCTGTTCAGTATCAGATGTGCTGGACTGCATAGCTTGTCAATAAGGTTCTACCTTTTTTTGACATAAGCTCGAAACTTTTTGGAAAACTTTACTAAGCTTAGTCATGAGCTGTTTTCATAATATTTTAGCGTTCTTTGGGAAGCTAACATATTTCATCTAATTATAAAATAAATAGTTATTAACTTTGAACTTTATAAGATCTTTTGTTGAAGTTCAAGCAATAACTCATAAATATAGTATACGTATATATGGAATTATTAAAAATCTTATGTTTATCATAAGTATATATCCTACATACGTGTATGCATAAAATAATGGTGGATATGCCTACTGGGGAACCAGCCATTTAAAATAACTGAGTTAACGCACTGCGTGCAATACCTCTGGGGTAGTGTGGAAATTTGCACTAGCTATTGATGGGTCAAAAAATACAATAAAAATTTATTTATTTTAGAGAAACCACACAACATAACATTTGTAGTTTCTTCTGTAGCGTTAAAGCAAAATCATTTTATTTAACGTTTATGTTTTTTGTTTTCCATACAAGCGTGAACGTTTCACACAATGGCCAATCAAAATTAACAATTGTGTATGAATTGCATAGATTTTGGGGCAAAAGTAACGTAACCTAACAGACTTATAGAGATAAGCTCGATGAGTTAAGTACGATAATCTAAACACAGTATATGACATTAAAGTATATATTTGAAGTGATAAAAGTTTGCCTTTATTATTTTATTCAAAAGCATAAAAGGAAAAAAAGTTTTCAGGGACAATCTGGAAAAACACACAAAATGGACAAAGAAAAAGGACGATTTTAATCAGTGTGTTATATCACATTTATTGTTTATTTAAACTTACAAATATAAGAAAATGGGTTACCCATTTTGAAAGTAAATGGCTCGCAAGGTAAAATTGAATAAAATACATTTATGATTGAGTTTTCGATTTATGAAAACACATCATTTAAATATTATCCACGTGGCATTATACAGTACATGATTCTTTTAAGGTAATATTGGATGTCATGTTGGCAATATCTTGGCAATATTTTGAAGGATCAAAAAACCTTCGTAAAATGTTTGATAATTTTTCGCATAAACACGATACTTTATGTAACCCCACAAAGAAAAGTCCAGTGGTGATAAATCGAAAAATTTTGATGGCCAATTTACAAAACTAAAACGTAACGTTATACCTTTTGGAAATCATAAGCAGGGCGTGTTGTGACGGGTTATGGAACAGTCTTATTAAAACAACATATAAACCACATTCATATCTTCAACTCCACGTGAAAAAAATTGGTAATTATGGTGCTGTAGCAATAGGAATTAAGAATTTGTATCACATCTTCGTCTATCTAAACACTAGGGCCAA